CAGGCGTCTACAAGCAAACTTTCGCAGCCACGCGCTTCGGCGGCCGGCAACATCGCCCAGACTTGTCCCGAGCTCTGCGGGCGGCGGTCTCGCTTCGAACAGCTTGACTACGTCAAGCATCAAAAACAACCTTAAACATTTGACAACGCCAAGGGTCACTGCGCCAAACTAGGCTACAGATCCAGTGAGCTTAAATACGACGGTAAATACGACGTTTACAGGTTAGGTCTATTGCCTTATCTTCAGCCGTCCTACTCTTCTAGGCGGTTATGCATGTGGCCTAACTTGCCGCGCAGTGCTGGAGGAGGACAATGGGGGCTTGTGCGTGATCTGAAAGGCGTGAAAGATTTTGGCGTCGTAAAAACTAAATTCTCCCCTAAAGAAAGACAGGCTGATGCAGTTCTTTTCCCAGATATCAGACCCGAAACCGAGCGAAGCAGGACGTGATGACTTATTCCCTTCAACGATTGGACCGAAGCCACCGCTTTGTCGACTTGCGATTGCAAAGACCTTGAATATTGCTTGTCTGGGTCATTCATCACTGCAAAATAGCCTATTCTGGTCTACTGTCTCGTGCGGGTCGCGGCGTGTCATGATCTGCCAGCCATGTAACTTTCTCCGCCGACAGTCACCAAGGCGCTGGCGATTGACTTCTTTTGCTGCGGCATCGCGACCGTTCCACCACGCTTCTCATTTCGCCAAGCCTGTGAGAGTCTTTGGTGTCATATGAACATCGTCCGTGCCATGGCTACGTCTGCGATTTCCTACGTCTGCGATTTCTACAAGCTGCCAGCGGCAAAGCTTCCTTTGAGACGCTGCAACCGGTAATGTTTCCCACTTGACCAGGCTGAGCAACAGAAACACAGTGAGCAACAAAACACTCGCGCCGTCTATTCCCTCTTCAGACCTCAATTGGGACTACTCAAGAGCCTTTACCAAGCCTCGACCTATTAAGCTCAACGCTCTTTAGCTTTATGCTTCTACGCTTTTGGTTTATCGATGACGTGAAATGTTCGACTTGCCAGACGTAAGGTTACAGAGTCACTCAACTTGGACGAGCTCCTTTTTACTCCACCACAACTGTGCTGTTGTTCAACACGCTCCCAGCAAAAGCAAACACCTCCTGCAGGAGATCACGAAGCAAGATGTCAAAGTATCCCTGCTCGCAATTCAACCGCAGCGTTCAAGGGCGGCCGGGGCAGTGCGCAAGTGGAGGCAGAATGAGGCGCCGAACTGCCTGCAGCGCATCATCTGAAAACCCGGTCGACACAGCGAGATCCTCAAAAGTCGATCAGTGAAAGCAACAAATCGACAAGTCAGAGAATCTCGGGCCCGCGACGATCACCAGTTAGCAACGACTACGACCGGATTGTGGGCCAATGTCAGCGTCGGCCACGCAAACCCTCGCACTTCGCAATCCCTCTTCAAACAACGGCTCTAGACGGCGGCTAGCGCGTTCCTGATGCTCGGAAGGTAGCAGCAATCGGAAGACTGCGGCTGCACGATCGTCTATCAGAGCCTGCAGGCATCGGCTATAATGGTCGAAAGGAGGGAGGGTGGGCAAGTTGAGCGGCAGTCAGGTCAGGCAGCTATTTGGTTACACCCAGGACCCTTGCATGACGGCCTCAGGGCGCAACTCTGTTTGCGCAGGGCACGATTCGAACGTCAATTTCGGCATTTGTCATGAGTCGCATCAGGTATATTGGGGGGATGCGGGCGCGGCAGAAGAAGCGTAGAACTTCCCTAGAACAGGAGATGGGAGCTCGCTCAGACCAGCCTTTGGCACTCGACGGGGACAGCGTTAACGGCGAAATGATGGAGAAAGCCATGAGCCACCACATGTCGAGATTTGCGCCTCCATTGGCGAGGTCTTCTGGAAGGTCGACGGACAACTGGCACAAAGCCGGGGTTCACGTTGGAGAAGCGGGAGAGTCCCTTGGAGGCCTAGGGAGGCTCTACCAAAGCACTCGCAGATGAGTCGTTTGGTGGCCGCGCGGAGCCAAATAGGCACAACCCTGGTCGTGTTTGGCGCTTTCCCGACTGGACATGCGAACCCTTCCTGGGTGCCGCCCTGGAGCAAGAGCAACTGACATCACGCCGCTAAGGTGGCAGCCTTAATCTAATCGGATATTAAGTGCGCGGACACATGGACCAACAGCTAGCAGCGTTCACCCGCGCTCGCAGGGACTTGGCACGACCTCCGACGATGCTTCCTTCATGTAATCGGAATGGGTGCATCCCTTTAACCTAGCTTTTTACGTGCATGTCAGCACGGCTTACCCTGGCGTCTCGGCCGTTGGCTCTACTTACCCTTGGGTGGGGTTGTTGTTCTGTCTCCAACCACTGAGAGCCATCAGAAGCAGCGCACTTCTTGGGAGCACCCGTCCAGCAACGGCCTTTATTCATACCTCCGACCATTTTTAGCTCCCCACGTCCGCTAGCCAGCCAATGAGCACGTCAATGATCGGGGTGCTGCCAGTCGCTCAGAGACAAAGTCTGAATTCAGTTCTGGAGTTCCAAGACGCTCAGCGTCGCTCTCCCTTCCCTCCCCCGGCCGCATGGACCACCGTCTATGTGCTGTTGGCTTTAACCATGTTTTGTGTTGTACTTAGTCCACGTTCTTTTTTTGAATTTCGGCACCTCTCTTGGCAGTGAGGCTTGGTTGTTGCTCAGCTTGTGCTGGCCCTCCGCGCTTCCCGAGGTTTGCCTGTGCGAAGCCCTTCAGATTGACTTTTGATTGAGAGTCTCTGGGAAGCTGGGTCGGCTTGTTTGCAAGTGCCTTGGGTGCGGCCGTTGCGGAGAGTGATCATGGAAGGAGTATATATACATTGATGTTCTTCCCCTTTCCTCCTCTCCAACTCGTATACCAACAACATCGTCAACACCAGCAAATCTGACCTTCGGCGTTCACAATGAAGTGGATTATTCCCTCCGTGGCATTACTCAGCCTTGCCGCCGCGCTGCCCAGCGCTCAAGACGACTCGAAGAAGAAGGAGAAGGACAAGTACAAGGGTAAGGGCAGCGGCGGCGATGATGTTGATCAACAGAACATTATTCCTCCTGAGGAGGTCAAGGACTTTGACTATCGCGTGGGTCTCGAGTCGTAAGTTCATCATGGCTTCTCTAAAGACAGACCTGTTACTGATGTCTCAACAGTTTGAACGGCGAGACCCGCTACGTAGCCTGGGTCGGCGGCCAGGCCGTCTGCGACTCCAGAACTACCATCGGCAAGGGTGACACTGCTTGGTGCTCCCGTCCCTCTCTCGTCCAGTACCAGGGCCGCTACATCAAGGTCCACTTCTACCAATGCGAGGCTCTCAACCCGCACTCGACAGTGTCGCCCGAGGAGGCGAAGTGTTCGAAGAAGAAGGATAACGGCGAGGATCCGACCAATGGCGAGAGTGATAAGTGTATGAAGGAGCATGGCGGCAGCGAGATTGAAGGTGTCTACCTCGAGCTCGAGAACAATGAGAGAGCTTACTGCGGTGACCTTCGCGAGACTTTCGACTGCGGTCCGGCTCTTGTTGTTACCCGTCTTCAGGTTAGCCGTCTGTTTCGAGTATTGTTATTTTCATGGCTAACAAGATCAGTGCTCTCCCCCATCCCGCTCAGGTGGACATGGAGGTGGCGGCAGCGGTGGTGGCAGCCGTGGTGGCCGCGGTGGTGGCAGCGGTGGTGATGACGGTGGAAAGGGAGGAGGTGGTGGCGGTGACGACGGTGACGGTGGAAAGGGAGGAGGTGGTGGCGGTGACGACGGTGACGGTGGAAAGGGAGGTGGTGGTGGTGGTCGCTAAGTCCTGGAGACGGCGAGGCAGAATGGTGTGGCGGTGTTGAGTACGACTGGGGTTAATGTTCTTCTGTCTACGCACGGAACCTGTATATTGATGTGCAGGCCATGTATGTTTTGGCAATACAAGTTTCGTCATCCAATACATGCCCCTTACGTGATCATGCGCTCATGTAGACCCGACCGTGGCAGAAAGGGACTGGCGAAGTTTACCACGTAATATCAGGGTCCGCTCGAAGTCCATTTGGTCGCTTGTTGTGAAGCGACTTCGCTATTTTCCTCGGTTTCAACCAGGCTTTCCCAACTAATCCAAAGTCGAGTCTGAAAGAACTGACATAGTAACATTTACGTCCATCAGCCCCAGAAATCCAAGGAAAGTATCCCACTTGGTACTCAAATTCGAACCCCCCGACCGCATTGTCAACCAGGCGTTAGCCAGATTCTCCGCCTATGTGCGGTGATCCAAAGCTACGAAGACAATGACGGTTCTAGCAGTGAGGCTCAGTCTCTTCGGAAGAGATCACTACAAGCTCTGTGAGTTTCGTGACCGCACTGTGTTGAAGGAAATCCAGCTACTTGTTGAACAATCGCCATTTTAGCGAGCATTCAACAGAAATGTAATGATCGAGCAATGTTCATCCGAATCACGCAACCTATGTAGTGCAAAGACGCGTGAAGTCACCATTAAACACTGGAATGCGGAGAAATCGCCGGTCTGCTTTGCGGGATCCCTTAACCCGGAGCGATGATGTTTCGGAGTGACCAGAGGAAGCATTGGGCGACAAATCAAGTCGCCCATTAAACTGTAAGCCAGTCAATTCTTCCAGCCGATGAGGCAGGTGCTGGACGGAGTGAAGCGACATCGACAGTCAAAATTCGAGTACTGAACAGTGTCTGCCGCAGTGCCTGCGGCGATGTTTTCATGCATGGCAATAGCGAACCGGTGCTGATTGGTCGGCCTGTGCTAGTGTGCTGTCTGGAATGGGCCAATTAGATCAGCGTGTCACAGGCGAGAGCTGTGATAAGGCCGTTGCGCCCTCCGCCCCGGGGCTTCCGCACCAAGCCTTGACTTTTCTCTTCTTCCCCACACTTCGACGATTACGCCCCACCAATCGCTCCTGCCCTTGGAGATAGTGTTTTCAGGGCTCTCCATGCTCGCCCAGACATGTACCAATCTATATTGTGGCTTAGCAATCTCGTTTCCAACAAAGAAGCTCCACTGGCGCAATGGTAGCGCGCGAGACTTCTAAGTCGTCGTAACACGCTATCTCGAGGCTGCGGGTTCGAGTCCCGCGTGGAGTATATTCTTTTGCCTCTCTGAGCATCGGGATGCACTTTTTACTATGTCAACCCATCAGGATTCAGTTTTGGGTTGTCGTGGTGGTGTTCAGAAGTGTGAGAGTTTTGCGCTGCAAAATGAGCGAGAATGGCGCGCTAAACCGTTGCAGGGGCGCGCTAGTGGGCGACGTGCTTGCCTACCGAAGTTTGACTGGTGCCAAACGGGCACGCGAGGCTGCATCAACTGAAGGCGCATGTCGTGGGCACGTCGAGATTGCCAAAGAAGGCAATTTGATACCTCTCCCCCGCATCATTTGCACGCACAGTAATTAGACATCACCATCTAGCGCCAGTAGATGCTTCTCTCAAGCGCACTGCACGATTTCTCCGGCATTCTACCACAACAATTTTCAGCAGCGAGCAATATCAGACAAGAGAGTTCTCCAGACTCTTGATTTACGATTCAGCGAGTGTCCGCTTACCGTGAGACACAGCTGGTTGGCCAGCCATCACGACACAGACGAATGTCCAAACGGCAAGCACCGAGAAGCGGGAGGAGTATCAGTGGCTTTGAATAGGGAGTTGGGAAGCGGGTATTTATGCTGCGTGCCACAACGAAATCAAGAGCGGACCCCCTTCCACTCCCCCATCTTTCCCAAATCAGCGCGGATGCCTTCAGATAGCTTGCGACCGCTGCCCGCCATTTTCTCTGCTCGTCCTGCTTGACTCCCTGGCTACTCCTCACGCGTGCACAGAACAAACAAGCCCCCCGGGATCACTCTTATTTTCAAACTCCCTCCCACACTGAACGACGCTGCCTGCAGCAGTGCAGCCGCAGATGATATCCGGCGTTTTTACTGCAGAGGCCAGTGGAACTCACATATTCGACATCCATGTAGGAGAGAGAGAGAGAGAAAGAGAGGAGCACCACGCAAATCAGCAGCGTCCTCCAACCCGCATCTTTGCGCAAAAGGCCTCCGTTAGTCTTTAGTCTTTGCATTGCTCGCTGACGCATAGGCTCGTGGTAATGCGATAATCATACACGCGCGCAGACTCTGGATAAGCAGGATCGCTCGCTCAACGCGTGGGGCTCTGCGTCGGGCGTGAGGAAGGGTAGTGAAAAGACAAGTCCAAATTCATGCCTGCACTGCCGCCGTTCTCGCCGTCCTCTCCGTCAGCCATGATGGGCAGAGGCAGCAAAGCGAAGCGCTCATCTGTGATATCGCAGCCGCAACCGTCTCCAACTGTTCGAAGGCCAGGAAGGGAGTCTGCGCCGTTGGTACACTGCTTCGCTGGTGTCGAGATGCCATCGCCAGGGCCAGAGGCGCAGGCGTAGGCATCTTGACGCAGCAGCAATGAAAGCGACGGCGGTTCACACGCAACGCCTTCGTCTAGTCTCTGCTGCGCCGTGGTCCGACACCTCTTCCTCTTCGCCTTCCCGCCACTCTTCTGCGTCATGGCGGCCGACTCGACCTCCCCGGCCATCTGCGACGGCAAAGCCTCATCCGCAGGCGCCGAGCCATCCGGGTAGTACAGCGACCTACAATCCTAAATCAGCATCGCCGAGCCCAACCCAGCATCCTTCCATTCATGAAACCAGCAACGCGCCAGCCAAGCCATTCAAGACCCTGACGCGAAAGGAGTGCAAGAGAGGAAAAGAAAGCACGCCACGAACCGTCGGACAATCTCCGCGACATCGCGCTCCCCGACGCCATGCACGCGCCGCACATGCTGCTTGAAATTGTCGCGGCGCGGCCAGATCTTGCCGCTGCGCGTGCAGCCGGGCCCGACGCAGCGGAACGAGGGCGTCATGGACGGTGCTGCTGCCCTCCGTGTCGCCGCTGTCGCTGTCATTGTGGCGGCAGCGGCGGCGGCGGTGTTGGTGGAGGGGGAGGCAGTGGAGGTGAAAGTGGAGGAGGAAGTGTTGTGTATCGCCATCATCTCTTCCGGATGCACGCTCTTCTTGTGCCGGTTCAAGTCGTTGACAGTCGTGAAGCCGAGATTCTTGCCGCGCGCGCAGCCCGGCACGCTGCACGTGAAGGGCTTGCAGTGCTTGCGGCGGTCTTTTCTGCATGGTTTACCTCTTACTTAGTTCATCTTGCCTTTGAGCAGTGGAGTAGGACGCGCCAGTGACAGGAAAAAAAGGGGGGTGAGGGAGAGTCTCGGGGAGAAGGGGGAAGTCATGTTCTCGAGGATAGAGGGCTGGATGGATGGGTAGGTAAGGTAAATACGCACTTGAGATCCGACGCACACTTGAAGTTGCGATGACAAGTGCGGCAGTGGAAAAGCTTCGTCCTGCTCTTCGTCTCACTCATCATCGCCATGGGCAACACCATCGCGTTCTCGTCCTCCCCTGGCGCCGCTTCGTCGCACTCACGGCAAGATGCCGCTCCACTCCCGTCCCCTTGGACGGACCGAACCCCCCTAGCCGCCCCGCCACCCCGGCCGCTCCCCTCTGACAGCGCCGTAGCCGCAGACCGACCCAAAGCCGACGTCTCAGAGCCGGCAGAGACGTCGCTGGGTGCGCGGAATCGGGGAGCTGGCACATTGGGAGCGAGTAGCGGCGCTAGGCCTGCCGATTCGCTCGTCGTTGCTTGCACGCTGCTCCAGGGGCCGTCGGCGTCGCGGTAGAAGCGCGCGATGGGGTCTGCGAAGATTTCGTCGCCGTCGCCGCTCAGGGGGAATGGCCGGGGATGGGGCGGGAAAGCATGATTCACCAAAGAGCCTCGCTCCTGGTGTAATGCAACGTCATGAGGCTCAAAGTTGAGAGCCGGCTCGAGTCTTGAGATTGTCCAGTCGAGGAAGCCATGCCGTGGGATAGAGGTTGCGGATCTGGTGGCAGGTGAACGATGGTGTGGATCAAGCTGCGGCGGTATTGTTGGTAAGTGGCGGAAGGCGTGGTCTGGTTCAGTCACGACAGGGTAATATGACTACAAGCTATCTGTCAATAAAGAGTTTGCAGGGGGGGGGGGGGGGGGGGGGGGATATATATATTACCGGCGCGGCGCCATATGCAGCAAAGGTGGGAAAGGTCGCCTGGGACATGTCTTGTAACCAAGACGACGACGACAACGACGACGACGCAGACGCAATGCAGAGTGGTAATATCCAGGCATAAGGCTGGCGAACCAACCAAAGAGACCAAAAAAAGATGCTCAAAGATGGCGACGCAAGGCCAACGCAACGCAACGCAGAACAAAGGCGTTCCCGTCGGAGTGGTTGGACAAACAGGACAACAGACAGGCTGGAGGGACCATCACGGCACATTAGTACTCTTGCGCCTCGTTCACCGCCGGACTGGCAGACGACAGCCTCTCTGTGTGTTGATTGCACAAGAGCCGCAGTAGCGCGCCCGACACGGTGAGATTGAGGCACAGACGAACGAAGACCCGTCGACTCACAGCCACTTGCTTGCTGCCTGCCTGCCTGCCTGCCTGCCTGCTTGCCCTGCTGATAGATGCGGCTGCGCCTTGAGCGAGCCTTGCTGCAACCCTGCCTTCAGTCAGAGCTTGGGTACGTCTTGCTCTCGGTCAACTGCATCACGGCCCTAGATTTCTGGGGCCAAAACTCGAGAGCAGGAAAACGCCGCTTACACCCGTGGCTTTCCTGTTTGGGATACTGGGTTTTTGTCACTCGTGTGCATTCCACCCCTCCCCGAAAGCGTACATGGAAGGAAACTCATCCAAAAAGGGGCTTAACCAGAGCAGACTGTACTATTTACAAAGGTTGGAGTCTGCAGAGCTTCCTCAAACGCGATTTCTCCTTGCGTGTTCGTTACAATCCCGGGTAAAATCCCTGTTGCTGCTGCTGCTGCTGCTGCCTCGTGTACGACGCAGCAAACTAATCAAAGTCATCCTCTACAAATTGCATAGTGTCACCTTGCCCATACGGCGTCGAGTCGGCCGTGAACGTCCAATTGTCCGCATAGAGATTCGTAGGCAGGTCTGCCCCGAAAGATGGACCTTCCACTGGGGACTGGTACACTTGCCCTGACGGCACAATGTCAGTGACCAACGCTGGAGCTGCTTGAGGATATCCGCCATGCAATTGCTCTTGCGCATAGAAGCCATTGTTTGCAAATGTGCGTGGTTTGTGACCGTAGGGGCTGAGGCAGGACTGATTTGCAAATCCGGTACCATTTTCAACTGCGTAAGTCGACAGATGCTGCTGTGAGACCTGGAACGGCTGTGATCGTGGGCTGGCAATTTGCGGGGGCGGGTACGTCATGTTGTTTGACGGCGATGTACCCAGAGTGTTTGTCAGGTCGGAGTAGTAGCCAAGTTGCCAATCCCTCGACGGCGCATTGACTGCCAGATTGAATCCATGGCCAGCCATGTTACCCACAGGTGGAGTGACGGCAGACTTGGCTCGGCGTCGTTGAACTGGATTCATCTCGACAGGACTGAGGATTGTGTCTACGTCGACGTCATGACTTTCAACCAACTGAGTGATTGGCATGCTCATCACCTCCATATGCTTTGCCAGGTGAGAAAAGAGGGACTTCCAGCTGGTAGACCGAACGCCACAAAAGGGACACGGTTCGTCCTCTGGTTCTGACGACGTTTCGTGGCGGCAAAAATTCACAATCAGCCATACTTTGTCTGACTGGTTGCCGGGGCCAGAAAAGTCCTCAATCCCCCTTTCCCAGTCGATCAGGTATTGCAGACGATGTCCTGCACGTACGTGAGCAACCGTGTCCTTGAAACCTTTCGTTTTTGGTTCATTATCAGGCCTTGGCACTTTGTGCTCGCGGAGGAGATGTTGCAAGAAGTTGGACTTGCGGGCGACTTCTTTTCCACAGTCGCGCCAGTTGCACTTGAACATCTCCAGTTGCCGGTGCTTCTCCATTTCATGTCTCTTCCAGTCGGCTTTCCTGCCCCACGTCTTGCCGCAATCACAATCCCGAAACGTGCAGAAATAGGGCTGAAAGTCGTCTCGTACGTGCTGCGTCCAGTCTGAAGGTCTCAAAAATTCCCGAACTTCGAAACAGAACGGACATTCGAATTGTGCTGGTAGTCGTCTCA